TCCTGACCTCAAGTGATCCACTGCCTCGGCCTCCCAAAGTGTTGGGATTACAGACGTGAGCCACCGCGCCTGGCTCCAATACTGGGTTCTTTTGTCAATATGCAAGCAATACAGACCCTCAGCTCCCTTTGCATTAGCCTTCGCCAGAGCCCTAATATGATGGTGACCTTGGATGCTGAACACATCAGAGCCCCCAGAAAGAAAGCCCACCAGAGGAAGTTTATTGAAAATCAGAAACCCCACTTAAACAAAGTCTTTATTATCTAAACCCAAAGTAGAGATTTATAAAGTACTAAAATATTTCCCATGTCCCTAGACGAACAGGGACAGTGAGACTGACCTCCAAAGGTCCCTTCTGGCTTTCAGATAGAACCAGAATAAGTTATTCTGGAGTATATTTGGAACGAGCACATCCTGTGTGAGAGACAAGAGCCACTCAGATATACGCAAAGAAAACAGGCTGCTCTGTGAGAGTATCTCTGCGAGGCACCTGGAGGAAGTTCCATGCATGTCGTCTCCTTAGAACCAGCCCTGGTCCCGATCTCAAACCCAAAAGCAACCAATCCCCCTCTCCCTCAACTCAAAATACTTCTTTATGAGCTACTCTTCTAAGGGAAAGGTCTGGAAAATCTTATCCTTCAATGTGCAGTCTGAGGAAGTATTCCTTACTGCTTACCTCAAAGATATGATACTTTTTAAAGATACTTGGTTGGGACCATAACTTAAGGAAAGAAAGAAAAACCTGGGATCCGGGCTGTTATGAAATAAGGAAGAAAAGAAAATGATATCTAACTGTCACTCTTACTCACTAGGCAAGCACCAACCTGTACCATGCTAAGGAGATAACTGGAAGCTTCTTTCTCTCTTAAAAAAAAGAAAATTATTCCCAGTGATCCTTCTTCTACAAAGATCACATTTTGGTTGAATTCTGTGTTTTCACAGTAAGTAGGCTTTTGCTTGGAATGTTTCTTACTGTGCTTACAGCGTTGTTGGATGACTACAAGCTCCAAAAGCAACAGGAAATAGCAAACAATGACCTATTCCCCTCTTCCACTGGGTTTTAAAATGAAATCGTAGAGAAGAACAAAAACATGTTTAACACAGAGAGATAGGCTTTTCCAAACTGTTTTTCACTAAACCAAAGTGTGAAAACTAGAAGACATGATTTAAATAGCCTGTTGGCTTCCAGAAAAGGATTCAGGGCCTATGTCCAAAGCCAGACATAGTTAATTCAACCTCAGCTTCATTCCTGCTGCATCATCTCTACTGAAGGCAACAAAGAAGGGAAAAAAATGCTTCAGGAGTTATTCCACGGGCACAGGAAATCGTCTAGAATATCAATTGTTAGGGAAACATTCCACTGAAAATAGAAAAAACTACATTCAGTGCCAAGTAAAAAGAAATACACAATGAGGCTGCTCTATTTTAAAGATGTATCTTTGATGTGAATATTTTGCAGAGAATGCAAGATGACTCCACAGAACAAATATCATCAACATGACAATGTCATATGAGCAAAAATATTCCCAAGTCAGTTGATGAGTCACTGAATCAAGCAACGTGTAATACTTGACCATTTCAGCACAGTGGAATTTGTAGAGGTCCTTGGATTTTTGTTGTAATGGTCGTTGAACTAGATAAATCATACCCATGTAAAATAGTCCTGATTTGTTGAATGCAGGCATGAAAAACAATGCACAGAGTCGTTGGCTGAAATTGGCATCCTTAATGAGGAATTTGCTCAGTTGAGGAATTGAGGTTGAACACTGAAAAGCAGGTTGTGCCTAAACTTTATGTACTTTATCACAGTAATGCAACAACAGACTGAGAAATGTTCGTGAAAGTTCAGCTTCATTTGCTGTACTTCTCTGGCATACGTGGCCACTGGGCTGCTAGAAGTAAAACCAAAAAGGAAAAATGATGTTTGCTTGCTTACCTTGCCTAACGATGGTGGTTGGCTCTCCGCCATGCAGACTGGCTCTCCCGATGGAAGGCTCAGTGATGTCCGTCCAGTAAACCATCTTGTCCACACAGTCAAAGGCCAATCCAATGATGACTTTAGCCTGGAAGTGAAGACCAGTGGTTAGAATGGTCCATCTACAAGCATCTGATAGTGATAATCTTTTTGCATGCCTACAGACATTTGGATATCTTTTGTTATGAAGTGCCAAGTATTTTGTCTATTTAAACATTTTTATCATTGAGTTGTAGGAGTTGTTCATATATTTCAGATAAAACTCTTGTCATATACATATATATGCACATCTATATGTGTAGGAATTTGTGTGTGTGTGTATACATGCATAAATATGTATTTTTTGAGACAGGGTCTCTGTTGCCCAGGCTGGAGTGTAGTGGCATGATTACTGCTCACTGCAGCCTCAACCTTCTGAACTCAAGTGATCCTCGCCCTCAGTCTCTCGAGTAGCTGGGACTACAGGCATGTGCCACCATGCCTCACTAATTTCTTAAATTTTTTTGTAGAAACAGAGTCTCACTGTCTTGCCCACTCTGGTCTCAAACTCCTGGCTCAAGCAAACCATCTGACTCAGCCTCCCAAAGTGCTGGGATTACCAGCACCAGCCACTGCACCCACCTATTATTTCTTCTCAGTATGTAGTTTGCTCTTTCATTTTCGTAATAGTGTTTGGAAGAGCAAAAGTTTTTAATGTTTAGTAAGTCTAATTTATTATTTTTTCCTTTTATGGGTAATGCTTTTTGAATACTAAGAAATCTTTGCCTACTTGAAGGTGACAAAGAAAAAGAAATAAAAGGCATACATATTGAAGAAGTAAAATTACTCTATTCTAAGATAATATGGTTATTTATGTAGAAAGTCATGCGGAATCTAAAAAACTACTATAACCAATAAGGGAATCTAGCAAGGGTGCAAGATACAAAGTCGATACAAAATTGTTTTTCTATATACTAGCAAAATATAGAAAATAAACCTTAATAATTGTGACAGCATCAAAAAAACAGAAAATATGTAAGGATAAATATTTTTAAATATGCAAGATTCCACACTGAATACTATACAATATTGCAGCATGAAACTATAAAAGATCCAAATAAATGAAGGGATAGATAAGGTTAAATGTAAACAATTTACATTTAAATTGCAGCTGGGACTACAGACATGTGCCACCACACCTAGTTAATTTTTCCATTTTTTGCAGAGATAAGGTCTCACTATGTTGCCCAGGCTGGTCTCGAACTCCTGGGCTCAACTGATCCACCTGCCTGGGCCTCCCAAAGTCCTGAGATTATAGACGTAAGCCAGTGTGCCCAGACAATGCTGTGCACTTTTAAGATATTCACTCTCTCAAACCATCGCAACCAAATGCTCAGGCCCCAACTATGGGTACCTCCTTCACAGCATCCCAGGCCCATCAACTTCTCTGGCCTTCCGTGGTACTAAGGAAAGAGAACATTTCCTTCAGCAAACATGCTCATCAACTTCTCTGGCCCTCCACAGCATTAAGGAAAGAAAACATTTCCTTCAGCAAACATGCCCAGAGTCCTTTTCCACACATTGGTTCTTACAAAAGTGAGACAGAAAAGGACCAGAGGAAGTGAAGTTGAGTAACATTTTACATGTGATTTGAGTTTCGTGAAAACCTACTGGGCTATATTTCAGTTTGAAAAGCCACTGACAGTTAGCTCTGAGTAAGCCAGCCTCTCCTCAGAAGAGGCAAATCAATTACCTGCCAGTAACTCATTAACGAGTATTTATTAGGTGCTCATTATGTGTGAAGAACTATGGTGATATTTAGACAAGACTCCAACCTAGAAAGAACACTGAGTTACTTAAATTATTTAAAGCAACCAGCTCAAAACAAGTCATCTGCCTATAGGTTGATTTGGCAAAGCCTTGTCGAGATCTTTTGCAAATTAAAATATTTTAAAACAATAGGGATTCATACTTCTGTAAAATTTAGCCATTGGGAGAAACCAGGTGAAAGGTACACAGGACCTCTCTGTATACCTTTCCAACTTCCTGTGGCTCTGATTACTTCAAAATAAAAACTCAAAAACAAAACAGAAGCACAAACTTTTCCCTTGATCAGACAGTGAGGAGTTCCTTTCTTTGGATGCTGCCCATGAGAGGCTCAGGAAGAAGCTGCCGGGCTGTATGATCTCAGCATGTGGTGAGGTTTGATTCTATCAATAGCCTGGAAACACTGAATTGTTCAGTTACAAGAAACACTGGGAGTGGGTGCTTGGTTGTTGTCACAATACTAGGCATTACGAAGCCAGGGAAGGACTCAGCAGGGAAGGTCTCAGGAACAAGGAAGTGGTGGACCAGGATGATCTTTTACTGGGAAAATCAGGAGGATGAGCACTTACTTCCTCCTCAAGGGATCAAGTCAAAAAGGACAGTGACCCTTACCTCACACCACATACAAAAATTAACTCAAAATGAATCAAAGACCTAAATGTAAGAGCAAACTTATAAAACTCTTAGACAAAAACCAGGGGGAAAGCCTCATGACATTGGATTTGGCAACAATTTCTTGGATATGATACCAAAAGCACAGGCAACAAAAGAAAAAATAGGTAAATTGGACTACATCAAAATTAAAAATTTCTGTGCATCATAGGACATAATCAAGAGACTGAAAAGACAACCATGGAATGTGAGAAAATATTGCAAATCATGTATCTTTTAAAGAGTTAATATCCAGAATATATAAAGAATTCCCACAACTCAACAACAACAAAAGAACAAATCAAAAACCAGACAAAAGTATTTAAGTAGACATTTCTCCAAAGAAGATATACAGTGGCCATTAAGTATGTGAAAAGATGTTCAATGTTATAAATTATTAGGAAAATGCAAATCAAAACCACTTCACACCCGTTACAATGGCTATCATTAAAAAACAAAAACAGCCAACAAGTTTTGGTAAGGATATGGAGGAATTTAAACCCTTGTGCTCTGCTGGTGGGTATGTAAAATGGTACAACCACTATGGAAAACAGTATGGTTGTTCCTCAAAAAATTAAATATAGAATTACCATATGATCCAGCAATTCCACTTTGGTGTATATATCAAAAAGAAGTTAAAGCAGGGACTTGAACAGATATTTGTATACCTGTGTTCATAGCAGCATTATTTGCAAAAGCCAGAAGGTGGAAGCAACTGCTGATAGATGAATAAATAAACAAAATATGGCATCCATACAATGCGATGTTTTTCAGTCTTAAAAAAGAAATTCTGACACATGCTACAGTATGGATGAACCTGAGGACATCGTGCTAAGTGAAATATGCCAGACACAAATGACAAATACTGTATGATTCTGCTTCTAGGAGGTACTCAGAAAAGTCAAATGTATAGGGACAGTAAGTAGAATGGTGGCTGCCAGGGGCTAGGA